AGGTCACCCTGCAGGACACAGGATACTACCCCCCACAAGCCATAATGAAAAATTTTTAGAATGAAGAAGTAACTGTCCTCTCTGTCCTCTGGGTGTCAGATGGAGAATTCTACTTCACACACACAGGATCGGCAGCCCTGGACTCTGCCTCGATGCCCCCTGCATTGCGTCCCAGGCTGGGGGTTGAGCACTGAGTGCAGGACACACACAGTGGAGACACACTTCCTAAGATCAGAGCTCCCTTCCCGGATTCCAGCCCCTGCAGACATTCACCGCAGGGGGAAGGACCAGTCTGATGGGAGCAGCTCAGTGGAGGGAGACCAGTCTCAGTCCAGCCCCTGGGCCCCTCCCATGACCATGGCCCTGAGAAAGACCCTGTGGTCACGGCCTGGCCTGAGGGGCCCCCTGGGATCCACACAGAGCAGCTCAGCCCGGGCAGCCCCTCCCCAGACCCCTGTCCCAGGGCTCCTGACTCCAGAGACCCCAGGGAGCCTGTGTCAGGTTGGGTTTGGCATCCTGGGCAGGGCTGAGTGGCAGCAAGGATTTCCCTACTGTCTGAGTCACAAGGTCATCTGAACTGGTCACCAGCCAGGACTCAGCCCAAGAGCCACATCTGGACAGGCGCAGAGCCTGGTTCTTCACCCAAGACTCTGAGTGGAAAGCACAGGTGGACAAAGTCCCTGGGCTATTAATAGACTGCCCTGGGGGACTTCGGAGACTCCAGAGGAAGGTCGGCATCCCCAGGAGGGACAGAGGATTGAAGAGGCTCTTGGCACCTCTTCATCCCCCAGGGGTCAGCCCAGGGAGCCCCTCTCACGGACGCATCAATACCACATGCTGTTAACGTGGGCAGCTCCTCTATTCCAAGCTCCCCATCAGGCAATTGTCAAAGATTTACGGTTAACACACATGGCAGGTAACATGGCAAGCCTGAGACCGTTTACCATTCATCCTGTTTTTTTCAGGGGAGACTGACTTACGGGGGGTTACAGTCACTGAACCGGTCACACAGACCATGACTGGCCCATCTGAGTCATGCCGAGATCTTTCTGCAAACATAGCCCTGTCCTCTCCTCCACCCCCAGGCTGTGCATGTGCAGACCCTT